CATACTCATCATCATCATCATCAGCATCATCATCATCATCATCATCTCCTCATCATCATCATTAGCATCACAATCATCATCAACATCATCATACGCATCAACATAGTCGTCATCACCATCCTCATCACCATCACCATCAGCAGCCTCAGCATCACCATCATCATCGTCGTCATCATCATCAGCACAACCACCATCATCATCACAATCATCAGCAGCATCAGCATCGTCAGCATCAACATCATCACCGCCACCGGCATCATCATCATCGTCGTCATCATCATCACAATCATCACCATCACCAACCCCTTCATCATCATCAGCATCATCATCAGCATCATCAGCATCTTCATCATCATCATCATCACCATCATCACCATCACCATCACCATCACCATCACCATCACCATCACCATCACCATCACCATCACCATCACCATCATCATCATCATCATCATCATCATCATCATCATCATCATCATCATCATCATCATCATCATCATCATCATCATCATCATCATCATCATCATCATCATCCTAATCATCATCGTCGTCATTATCCATCTCGCAATTTTCGGCACACCCCATACACGCTTCGTGGCCCTATAGGGAGCTCAACCTAAGACACCGCATGGCACCGCCGCACCCGTGTCGGCACACCCCTCACACGCTTCGCGGCCCCATAGGGAGCTCCACCGAAGGCCCCAGTGGCAACGCCCGCATGGCACCGTCGCACCCATGTCGGCACACCGCTCACTCGTTACGTGGCCCCACAGGGACTTCCACCAAAGGCCCCCGTGGCAGCGCCCGCAAGGCACCGCACCGAAAGCACCAGTGGCAACGCCAGCATGGCACCGCCGCACCCACGTCTGCACACCCCTCACAAGCTTCGTGGCTTCATAGGGAGCTCCACTAAAGGCCTCAGTGGCAGCGCCCGCATGGCACCGCCACACCCGTTTCGGCACAACGCTCACACGCTTCGAGGCCCCATAGGGAGCTCAACCGAGGGCGCACATGGATACGCCTGCATGGAACCACCGCACCCGTTTCGGCACACCCTTCACGTGTTTCGTGTCCCCACAAGGACTGCCACCGAATGCCTTAGTGGCAGCGCCCGCATGGCACCGCCGCGCCGGTCTCGGCACACCCCGCACGCGTTTCGTGGCCACACAGGGCTTCCACCCGAGGCCCCAGTGGCAGCGCCGGCATGGCACCGCCGCGCACATGTCGGCGCACCTCTCGCACGCTTCGTGGCCTCATGGGGAGCTCCGCCTGAGGCCCCAGTGGCAGCGCTCGCATGGCACCGCCGCACCTGTTTCGGCACACCCCTCACACGCGTCGTGGCCCCACAAGGAGTTCCACTGCAGGCCCCAGTGGCAGCGCACGCATGGCACCGCCGCATTCATGTCGGCACACACCTCACACGCTTCGCGGCTCCATAGGGAGCTCCACCGAAAAAACCAGTGGCAGCACCCCAGTGGCACCGCCGCGCCCATGTCGGCATACCGCTCACACCTGTCGTGGCCCCACAGGGACTTCCACCGAAGGCCCCAGTTGCAGCGCCCGCATGGCACCGCACCGAAAGCGCCAGTGGCAACGCCCGCATGGCACCGCCGCACCCACGTCTGCACACCCCTCACACGCTTCGTGGCTTCATAGGGAGCTCCGCCGAAGGCCCCAGTGGCAGCGCCCGCATGGCACCGCCGCACCCGTTTCGGTACACCCCTCACACGCTTCGCGGCCCCATAGGGCGCTCCACCGAAGGCCCCAGTGGCAGCGCCCGCATGGCACCGCCGCACCCGTTTCGGTTTTTCCTCTCACACGTTTGGCGGCCCCATAGGCCCATAGGGAGCTCGACCGAAAGCCCCAAGAGCAGCTCCCGCATGGCACCGCCGCACCCGTGTCGGCACACCCCTCACACGCTTCGCGGCCCCATAAGGCGCTCCACCGAAGGCCTCAGTGGCAGCGCCCGCGTGGCACCGCCGCGCCCATTTCGGCACACTCCGTGGCTCCACAAGGAGCTCCACAAAAGACGAGACTCGCAACCGCGGCACTCACAACTGCATGTGCGGTGGGCCCTCCGCCAGGAGACTCGATCGTCCACTTCCCCGCGTGGCGCTGCGACTCCCCCCCCCCTCCTCTCGCTGGGCCCCGCGGAGCTCTGGGGACACGAGGCGCGCCGCGGCCCCACGGGGCGCTCCACCGAGGTCCCCAGCGGTGGCGATCGCAGGGCACCGCCGCGCGCATGTCGGCCCCCCCCCCCTCCTCCCCCCCCCCTATGGGACCTCCGCGGAGCTCCACGGCGGGGTCGCGACGACGACGACGACGGTCGCGACGACGACGTTCCTGGATCGACTGGGCGATCGGATGCTGCCAATCGCGGCGACTTCCCCGAAGATCGGCCTGCGGAGGCCGCCCTCTCGGACCCCCGCGGCATCAGCAGACGGATCCGGGGCGAAACGGTACCCCCAGGAAGGAGTTCTGATGCAGTCGAAGCGCTGAC